GGAATGATCGCTGTCAGAATTCTTTCTCAAATCAATGCCGAAAGGCTCCATAAGTCTCATGCAACTCCTATTTAACCCTTGAAACTCACCAGCATGGCAGTCTCCATAAGTAGGGATCTAGACCGGGAAAAACTCACAGACAGGGCCCCCGAATCCTTGGAAAGCCACCAGAGGTTGCCCCATGAAGAAGCCTGACTGGTAGCTCAGCTCGCTGGAACCCTACCTGAAGGTTCAGGGATGTTTGAACTTAGCACTGGTATTAGCGCCTCAGAAAAGCCCTGTTGCACCTCCGAGTACTTGTGAAAGGAGCCTGGAATGCACCTTCGTTTCCAGGCGCGCCAAGAGGTCATGGTTGCTTTAAGGGGCTTAGGGTTCAAAGTTCAATGTTTGGGTATTAGGGTTGTGCGTTCAGAGTTTAGGCTTCAGAGTGCACAGCCCTCCATCCTACTTGGTGTGATTCTTGGTATGACATGCTACTGCAACAACCACTATGTCATTACGTGCATCATGACTGCTTCTTGTCTTGCCGCTGCTGCTGCTGTTGCCGCCGCACTGCTGCTGCCACGTACTACCTCGTCACCACCTCACTTCCATTGAAATCCAGGTTTCCTAACTTGTACAGTAACAGCCCGTTTCAGCGTCTTTGTTTCCAACGTAGATCCTGTTTCTTGGGGCTACCTTGAAAGTAAGCTTGAGTTCTGTGCATGCGCCACTGTGACAACTAAGTTGCCGTGCTCGAAATTGTTCGTCATCTTGGGCTCGAGCTGAGCAAATATAATCTGATAAGCGAATAACGACAGGCAAGTACACAGCACGGTTGGTTCCCTCGCGAATCTCTTGTGTTTCGGTTTGTGCTTGTCTGGGCGCGCGAGCTATATTTGCACATGTACGTTCATTCCCCATGAGGAATACGCAAGGGCTTTTTTCTTTCCCCTGAGGAGCACACTCGGTTTTTCTACTGGTTTTTAGTGCTGAAGCCTGGAACAATGGAGCCGCAACTGTACTATCTGACATCAGGACGACGAGGATGCTATGAAGACGTTGTTGAGCTACCATCCGGACGCAGACAGGCTCAGTGCCATCTCATGGTCGTGTGTAACCGCACATCTGCTGGCGCCAGAGGGCTGGGTGGCAGGTAGA